ATTTATCTGCAGGTTTTGTTTGGGAACAAAAGTTGTTTTGTTTTGTAAATTTGGTACTAATGTTTGATTTTATGACTGATGTATGTGTATGATCTGTTTCCATATCTTGAAATATTTTCCAAATCAGTCTCCTTTTTTTAGGAACAAAAGTCTTCCTTTAAATCCAATGCTAATGTTCGCTTTTATGTTTGATTTATGTGTAGCATCTTTTTCTACGTGTGTATGAATTCTTCGTGGTTGATGGTACGTTTCTTGAATTTCATTATTAGAGTACATTGTTATAGCCAAATATATGGTTTTTTTTTCTTATTTTATATGCTGCTTTTTTTTAGATATTTTAATAAACTCAAAGTTGATATATTGAATGTTTTTGAAGACACGGGAGGAAGGGGAGTCAAAAGAAGGAGAATGGGTTTCACTAGAATTGGTATTAAAGATTAAAGATATATAAGGTATAAAAATATATTATTGTTTTACTTGAAATTTTGTGCATCACAACTTAAATTGCACATATATGGTCTTTTCATTTGATTTGCAAAAAAGACAAGTGGATTTAAACGTAGGGGTAGTATTGTCAATCAGAGAGTTTACAAATAGAACTCAAATTGTTCATGTAATCCGTCTTTTCGTTCCCCTGATGTTTCTATTTCTTTATTCTTATTTTTAAAGTTAATATGAATGATATGATTTTAAATAAAACACAATGAGTTTTCTTTTTGTATTTTGTTAAAATAATTGTGGTTATTATTTATTATTATCTTATATAAGAAACAAATTACAATTTTAAAGAACACAATTTAAAGAACTCCCTTTTGTCCATTATACTCCAACAATAATTTATATTTTCTTCTCACAATCAAACCATATTCTGCGATATGATTTATTTAATAGTATTATTAGCATTAGTTGTAGATAATAGAAGTAGATGACCAAATTTGAAGGTTTTTTTATAATTTGTGCTCGCACATTGAATAACTCATATGTTTAGCAAGAATTAGTTATTGTTATTCGTTGAGTTAAATTTTAAGATGTGTTTATATACTAATAACATCTCCACTTCTTATACGTTCCATCCCAAATCCATAGAAATAAGGAGTCAAATCATAACACTCATTTTATCCCTGACATGATGTGATGTGATATGTTAGTATTTCTTATAGTAGGTTATTTTCCCCTCCAAATCAAGCATTAAAAAAGAGATAACATATAGCAAGATGTTCAAATCTATTGGTAGAATAGAGGGTGGGAAGGTAGCACCATTCATAGGTATTATGTTTCATAATTTTTTAGCAATTTACTTCTAACTTTTTTCTATTACAACATGTACTTTCATTTGTATGCATATTTTTATTACAAAATTAGCTTTAGGAACAACTTGCGCAAAGGTATGAGTAATCACTAGCAGGTAAGTACTCGGTTTAATGTTATCATTTTTATTATTGAATTTTTGTATTATATTTACATTTTGAGTAAATTACACGAATGGTCCCTATGGTTTGGGGTAATTTGCACGTTTGGTCCCTAACTTACTTTTTTAACTCGGAAGGTCCTTACTGTTTGTTTTTGTTACGTGTTTGGTCCCTTCTATTTGTTTTTGTTACGCGCTTGGTCCCTGTCTTACCTAAAAAGATTATTATTTGATTAGAGAAAGATGATGGGATAGGTAGGGTAAGGTGAGTGGAGTGAGGTTGGGAGTGTGTTTATTTAAATAAATTAAAAAATCAAGGGCAAAATAGTCTTTTTAGGTAAGATAGGGACCAAGCGTGTAACAAAAACAAACAGTAGGTACCTTCCGAGTTAAAAAAATAAGTTAGGGACCAAACGTGCAAATTACCCTAAACCATAGGGACCATTCGTGTAATTTACTCTACATTTTATTTAAGTCAAACAGAGGGTAATATTAGGATTTTATCTAAAGTTTCAGTGCTCCTGTATAACATCCTACTTCATGTTATAGCAACCAACTTTGAACTTCTTAAAAACAATTGTTAAAATGATTATGAGATATTAAACACAACCACACTTTGCATTTTAGTGTACTAAGGCATTGTACTTTGAAAATATAAGCCAATTATAACATTATACTTTCAAAAAATCAATCTATTAAGTGTTGGCACCTTTTTACTATCAATCAAAAGATGTTAGGTACTACTTATCATATTTGAATATTTATTTATATCAAGATAACCAATTTTAGCATCTTACTTGGTATTATAGCATCCTAATTTAAAGCTTCTTAAAAATATTGTCTTCATGATTCATGATTGTGAGATATCATATGTTTTTTTTGTTAAGTAGCTTTTTTGAGATATAATTATTTTCATCTTTTCCATGTGAAGGTTTGATTCTTAGCTTTTTTATAGTTAATTATTTTCATTTATTCCATAGACTAGGTTAAAACCCGTGGAACCCACGGGTGCTGTTTTTGAATTGAATTTAAAAATTAATTATTTAATAAAATATTATATCAATAATTCTGATAACTTATAAATTGTAATATTGAATATTTAAATAATTTTTTTTATTGGTAATTATTTAATTACTAACTAAATGGGAAGTATTTAATTAGGAATGAAGATTTTTGAAAATTATTTTTTTTATTCATCATTCTAATTGGACATATGTAGATGATACAATACCAATGTGTGTAATTAAATTAACATAAAATACAACAATACGTAATTATAAAAAAATACAGTAATATGATGGATTAAGTGTGATTTCCTAAAATTGAATAAAACGACGTTACAAAAAAGTTGGCTACAAATTTCGAAAAACTTCCTTATAAACAACATTGGAAGTTTTATTTCTGAGTTTGCCATCTTTATCTAAAATTAATAATTTTAATCCCTCTCTACTCTGAACTCTAGATAAGGCAACATACAATTGTCCATGTGAAAAAACTGGATCTTTCAGAAACAGACCAACCTTTGACAACGATTGTCCTTGACTTTTGTTAATAGTCATTGCAAAACATACAGCCAAAGGAAATTGTCTTCTTGTGAATTTGAAGGGAATCTTTTTTTCTGATGGAGTTAAAGACATTCTTGGAATAAAAGTCCGATTTCCAATATTAGTTCCAGTTATTATACGTGCCTCAATAACACGTTTGCCCAATGATAACACCTGTAGTCTTGTGCCATTACATAAGCCGTTTTTCTGATCAATATTTCTCAGTAACATTATTGGAACACCAATTTTTAAAACCAATGAAAGTAAAATGTTGTAGTATTGACTATTGAGTAGTTATTTTTTACTTTAAGAAGAATACCAACAAAGTTTTCATTTTTTTTAATACAAATTAGATAAAGTACAAATTAAGCACCCTCAATCACAATATAATTTCACCTGTAAAAGTATCAAAGTATCAAGCTCAAGATAGCTTTAACATTTGAACAATAATAACCACATATGCAATATCGGCCAAAAATTTAAAATATTAAGAAAAAATTTAAAAAATTTTTACAAGCAAATATAATTAAAAGTTTATAAAATAAAATGAAAAACCTTTTGAACAGATTCGTGAAGAGAAATGCGAAGTCAAGAAGGACTGTGAAATGTGATTTGTTCAATATTGGAGTCAAATGCAGTTCACGTGTAAAAGCAAAAATGTTCGCATTTGGTAATACAAATCAAAATTGGGTTTCGCATATGAGGTTGTATGGATTGGGGTTAAAGATGCGAAGGTGATTATGGTTAATATTCATTTCGTATTTGGTGAGACAAACAACTCAAATGCGAATGAACTAAAAAAAAAATGACTGGAACATGCGAAGAAAGAGGGTGAATGAAGAATGTGAATTTTACAGTAGAATGCGAATTGGGGAAGAAAGCTAAGAATTTCGAATTTTTATTATACAAATTGATTGATTTATTTATCTGTCTTAATTGTTAACTGCGATATATCAAATACTTATCAAGTTAGGGGCAATATGGTCTTTACATATATAGCAATATTTTTATTATACAAATTGATTGATTGATTGATTTGTCTTAATTGTTAATTGCGATATATCAAGCAGATGAAGTAAGATCGATTGTTTTGAAATGCGATGTCAAATCTGTTGAAGGGTGTAATGATTATTGTTTTCGAATGGTATGTGTTCGATTGGTTATTGGGTTTGTATACAGGGATCGATTTTAAACGGAGGTTAAAGATTGTGGGAACGAATAACTGTTAAATTCGATGTTTTCTGGAACGAAGCCTTGGTTATTAAATGAATCATACGAAGGATCTGTTATTTGATTTTGGAATTGGGGCGAATAATCGAACGATTTGGAGTTGCGAATTTGATTTTGAAAAGCCAATCAGTTGGGTTCGCATATGAAAACAGATAAGTTTTGATTTTGGATTCGCAATTGGGTTAATTGGGTTATTGATTGAGGGACGATTCGTGAAGAAAAATGCGAAGTCAAGAAGGACTGTGAAATGTGATTTGTTCAATATTGGAGTCAAATGCAGTTCACGTGTAAAAGCAAAAATGTTCGCATTTGGTAATACAAATCAAAATTGGGTTTCGCATATGAGGTTGTATGGATTGGGGTTAAAGATGCGAAGGTGATTATGGTTAATATTAATTTCGCATTTGGTGAGACAAACAACTCAAATGCGAATGAACTAAAAAAAAATGACTGGAACATGCGAAGAAAGAGGGTGAATGAAGAATGCGAATTTTACAGTAGAATGCGAATTGGGGAAGAAAGCTAAGAATTTCGCATTTTTATTATACAAATTGATTGATTGATTGATTTGTCTTAATTGTTAATTGCGATATATGAAATACTTATCAAGTTAGGGGCAATATATTTTATTTGAGTTATAACCAAAATCAACTAACTTGTCCAATTTAAAACAATAAAAGTATCCAAAAATATTCAAAACCAATAATATTTGACATCCTAAATACCCCAAAATAAAATCATACCAAGCAATTAAAATATCTTTATAACCAAAACAAATGATCAAAATATATTAAATGTGTCTTATAACCGATAGAAACTCACTTTTCAATTTTTGGAATCAAGAGTGGAGTTTCCTCTGCGGTTGACTTTCTTTTAGCCTTAGTTGAACTTAAATCATATCCAGAATCAACATCATAAATTTCTTGGAGGTTGCGCTTCAAATCACCTGATATTTTGCAAGGACTTGTTGCGGTTGACTTATCAACTGTTGAGGGTGTAAAACTTTCGTCTGTTTGTGAGATCACATCCTAATTTAAAAAAAAAATGTTTGATTCCTAAAAAAAATAACTAATATAATTAAAAGTTTATAAAATAAAATGAAAAACCTTTTGAACAGGCTGTACAACATCATCGGATTCCAAAGCAACTTGATTTAAGGAGACAGATTGAATACTCTAAAAAATAAAATGGAAATATGTTAATCGTTATGTACTTTAACATTAAAGAATTGTAAATTTTCAACAATAAAAAATTACATACCATAAGTTCTATTTTACTTTCCAATTCACAAACAATGGACATATCTTCTGTAACTCTGAGAACTGTGTAGATGTTATTATAGTTGTTGACATTGTATTCTGTAATATCTACAACAAAACCAAACTTGCGGTTTTTCAACACGTTAAGTTGCATTGGAAATAGGGCATCACTGTCTCCGGCCTGTAAGATATATTTTAATAAATTAAAAAAATTAAGTAAATGTTTTCTGATTTTAAAGGTATGAATAATATACCGCATCATGTATCTTTTTCAACTCGTAGGCACTTATATTTAACAACCTCCTTGCTTCCCTATCAAAAAGAGTCAATCCAATGGTTCCAGTACAATCTTGTACGTTAATTGGAATTATATACCTAAAACAAAAAATAATTATGTCATTGTTAGTGTTGTTTTAAGATTGACAAAATTAATAGAAATAAATATGTCTATACTTTATAACTGACTGAAATTCAGATTTTTTGCATTGTGCATTTGTACACTCGACAACCATAGTTTCTGAAATTCCCTCAGGGTTGGTATACGAATGATTGGTTTTGGGAACAGGGATAATTTTTTTCCACATTTTTTGCATGCTTCATAATACCATGGTAGATTCTGCCTTATATTAACAATGGAAGCAACTAATAAAAACTTCATTTCCTGTATCATATCAAATGTAAAAATTATTAAAATAAATTATGCAAAAATAAAATGTAAAACATATAAAATAATGCAATATACCTTAATTGGTTCGGTGATCTCACAGATTGTTTTTAATGGAAAATTGCCCTTAAAGTCATCTGTATATGAAGAAGAGTAGCTTTGAAGTGTAGTTATGCTTTTTTCAGTTATACCGAAATTGTCATGACATTTCAACCTGTAATGTTTAATTTAGATTCATGAATATTAGGTTTTGTGTTTTTTTTAAGTTAAAATACATTATAAAAAAATAAAAAACAATTGGAAACTAACTTATTTTTAAACTCATTTATTTCATAAATGTCAGAATTTATGAACAATTTCGTTACTTCAAAATGACTTTTAGCTTCACCAAGACCTGTAAAAAATGTATATCCAATTATTAAAATTTATATAAAAACAGTAATTATAAACATCTATATATAAAGACTGAATACAAACCATTCCAAATGTTTAGCTTCAAAAACTGCATCACGATAACAACAAAATTAACAGTCGGGTTATTTTTTAGGTATTCTGAAATTTGATATGCTTGACTTCCAAAAATAGTAACCTTCAGATGTACAGAACTAAATAAACCATAAAATAGTATATTAATATTAATTTGTGATTAATTAAAGATAATAAATAATAAATAAATAATACAATATAATCTCACTCTAGGTTGCTAAGAGTGACTTTTATATAATGCTTGGATGGTACTGGATTTGAAGTTTCAAGAGGCCTAAATGACACGATATGTCCAATAACATCTACACAACAGATACCACAAAAAAATAAAAGTTTAGGATTAAATTCGTAATATTTAAATAATAAAATGTATAACCAAAAAAACAAATGATAAAAAATGATTTTATTAATATTTTATGACTAACCAAAGAATGTGTCTTTTGGGCATGTTTGTTCTATGATAGAATTAAAGTCAACAAACATAAATCCATTGACCGGACCCGAGAAATCATCACATTTTTTTAGGATGCTTTTCCAATCCAAAGTTAAGGTCTGTTTATGACCTGTATAACTAAAACCATTAGTAACAGCAGCCATATTGGGTTTTATAACTATATAACTTTCATCTTCCTTTAAAAGATGACGAAATCTGGAGAAATTCTGATTGAAGACACGAGCTTGGTATTGTGTACCCTGTTTAAAAAAAAATTAAAAATTATTATGTTCATGAAACATGTCTAATATTGAATGATGAATAAAAAATATATCAAATACAACAAACCTCCTCATCCATGATGATCATTTCAATGGAACAAACTTTATTATTTCTGACAAAGTTCCAAATTTTAAGCACCCGAACCTTGATATGCGATTTTTCATCTATCTGGTCAATGTTATTTAGGTAAACCTTATTTCCTATTTCCATTTTCTGCAATAAATTTAATCATTATAGAATTGTAAGGAAAATTAGCAACCTTTTAAAATGTACAGAACATCCTAACCAATAAGTAAAACAGAAAAATTATAAATCAACACATGACAATAACAACTGACTTAATGTACTCATAAATTTTTAAATTGAATAATTCATTTTATAATAAAATGGAATACAAACAAAAACAAATAATTCATATGAAATAATGTTTTAGATTGAATAAAAGTTTATATAATAAGATGGAACACAAATATATAATAAACATGAAAACGACAATTATACCGAAAATGCCCCTGCAACATACTAACACTAACAGATAACATAACAATGAGTAAAACAGAAAAATTAAAAATCAACACATGACAATAACAACTGACTTAATGTACTCATAAATTTTAAAATTCTAAATTTTTTTGAGATTGTATTTAGATAAAAACAAACAAATTTTAAAATTTCATACCATAAAAAAAAGTTACTGTGCACATCTGAAAAAGACTATTTTTAATTTTTTTTAAAGAAAATGAACTTGTAATGTTCATTAGTTTTTCGTCTTTTAAACTGAAAAGGTAGAAGAAGTAGACGATTAAGAAGAATTACAAAAAAGAAGAAGAATAGAAATCATACAATGAGAACGTGATAGATACAGATAAATAAGAACATGGAGGAAATAGAAATATTGGTAATTCTGATTTTTGAATACACTAACCTGATATTTAATTCTTGAAGCGTTGCAGAATAACAAAGAATGAAGAAGAATACGTTTGTTGTGGTTTCTATGGAGCAGAATGGTAAAAACAAAATAACCGTATAAATGATATTTACGTTTACTGAAAAATACTGCAGATTTTTAGGGATTTAATGATTGCAATATATTGAATTTGCAATCAAAATAAACAAACTTTCAAATTTAATCGTGATTTTCGAATCTGATTATTCATTAATATATTTTTTCAAATTATTTTCATAATCTTTATTCATTTAAAATTAATGCATGAATATTTTGAATGCAGTTGACAGCTAAAATTTCCTGATATATTGCATCAGTTTGAACTTTTATTCAATTTTCGGATTCAATGGCATTTACGTAAATATAGAAGAAAAATGAGCGGGAAAACTCTATTTTGGGGGGCTGGGAGAATGCCACGTGGCCGAGTTCTACTTATTTATTAGAATTAGGATGATATTAAGAACCTTCGCTTTTTAAGGTTGTGACTACGACTTTTTTGGTTTCTTAATTTTGTAAGAAAAGCAAGCATAGTTTTTCTGTGATTAATAGTAAGTGGAAGTTTGGGGATTATAGTTGTATGGAAAATGGAAATACATGCATAAGAAACTAATCTAATAAAATAAAATTTGAGTTAATCTAAGATGTAGAGTGATAGAATACAACATAATTAAGTGGAGACATTGTCTTTCTGTATTTATCCAAACTGTTTTAATAGCAACAAGGATGATAAAACGATAATGGATGAAAAAAATGTTATGGATGATAATATATTTACTAAGTGAAAACTAAACCGGATATATTTACTAAGTTGAAATGACATATTTTATAGGTTTAGTATCTAAGTTTAGGTAGGGTTGTAATGTATATTCTATATATATATATATATATATATATATATATATATATATATATATATATATATATATATATATGTGTGTGTGTGTGTGTGTATATATATATATATATATATATATATATATATATATAAAGTCATGTAATACATAAGTCTCATAACTAGTTTAATATATAAACTAGATGGGGAACCCCCGCGTTGCCGGAGTCGGATGCGACAATTTTTTCCGTTGTTTGTCTTTGAAAATGTTTATAGTTTGAGTTGTCCATTTCTTCCCTCTTTAACTGATCTATAAACAAATATATAAATAAGAAATAAAAAAAACATCAATGAATTTGTAAGCAAAACTAATAAAGTGACAATTAAACGAAAACATAGGAACCTATAATGTTATAAATAACCAACGGAAGTAGAGGGACTAAAAAAGACAAAAAGGAAGCAACTTTAAAATAACCCAAATATAGTTGAGGGATCATTCCTGCAAAAAAAATATTAATATGACTAAATAGTAATAATATGTAATAAAAGACGAAATTCAAATGAAAGTAAAAAGGGTTGTTTGTGAACAAAATCATAAAGTTGAAGGGTGAATGTTGTAACATTGATTGAAAAAAGAAATTTCAACCAATTAAAACAAAATACTGTTAAAATTTTTCATAACTTTAATATATATAAGCCGTTAATGTGAAATTTCATAAATGGGGTTTATCTCCACCGCCCTTATCTGAAGTGGTTACTGTGATAGAGAGAGAAAGAGATAGGAGAAGAGAGCGGGAGCATAATCGGTGAGAGGCGGTGGAGGGGCCAAATAAGTAGTGACACCGGTAATGGTTGGAATAGAAGGAGACCCAACCATTGGTTGACCTGAAGTTGCACCAATGAACGTCGAAAACGATAGGTAAAGCTAGGGTTGACTTCTTTTCTAAAACCCGAGGCAGCTTGATGGCATGTAGGAATTGTTCGATCTTGTAAATTATTGAATGGTGAAATAGATGATGACCGAAAGAAATTAGGGATTGTGTCAGTTTGTTGCAATCAGAAACAACAGCGGTATGGGGAACGCCTCTTGAACGGACACAAAATAGATACGTGACCGTAAAGAACAGTGGGATGAAGAAAAAGAATACAAAGGGATTTTATCGGAGAGGCGGTAGAAAATTCCAGAAACAGAACACGTGTAAGAACATGTGTCCAATACCTATCAACCACACCGACCCAGACGGCCAGACATAAGATTTCTACAAAAAGTTAGATGGAACAAATTGTAATTTCAAAAAAGAATTAGGGCAATTTTGACAGACATGTAAGGCCAGCCACAAGTGACAATAGGGAAATAAACAAAGGACCAAAACTGCTAATACTTTTGCAACTTTACTGTAGCTAAGAACACACAATTTTAATATATACTTTTTTTTTTCTTTCTTTAACTAAATGTAAGTTATCAAAAATAAATCAACTATTAGAAATATTTCAGTAATTTTAGTTTTTATTTCGGGAAATAAGTATACAAAAGTTGATATATTTTGTGTTAAAAACCCCGGCAACATGAGATACATTTGTTAAAAAAGAAAAACAAAAATAAAATAAAGTTATCATGCATTGGATGATCTTTTGGACCAATGCTCGTATGATAGATTTTGTTTGAACGATATTTTCCTGCGTGTTTCATAGAATACATGTTTTTCATATAAAAAATATAATTAAAGAAGATGTTAGAATACAATTTTGTTTTCAGAAAACAATTCGTCAACCAACTTTTATAATTAACAAAAAACAAATATATTTCAATTTTAAACCGAAACAACAAATTTTTATATGTTGCATCACCTACCTTTCTCGAACACACTAAACCATAATACATTGTTCATTGTAATACATTGTGTCTTATTTTTAATATATCTTATTTCATAAAACAAACTAATCAATGAATTGAAGCTAATCCTTGTTTGCCGAACTAAAAGTTTCTAGAAACTATTTAAAAAAAAAAAAGTATTAACATCCGTCGCTTGGCGTATGTAATCGGCTAGAGAGTGTGTGTGTGTATATATATATATATATATATATATATATATATATATATATTGTTAAAAAAGTTACCCACCAGTGTGTGACTTTTAGGGTGCGTTTGGTTGAAAGGAAATAAATGAAATTTGAGGGAAAGTGATTCCTAAATGAAATAAATTTTCCACCGTATGGAGGAAAGTGAATTCCATCAAAAGTTGGATAGAAAACATTCTTTTTCATTAAGGAAAGTGGCAGATTACAAAAATACCCCTTGTACTTATCAGAAAACCCACCACTATCACTAACCACCACCATCACTACCACCATCGCCGCCACCGCTGTCGCCCCATCGACCAGCACCACTGCTGCCACAACCACTACCATCGTTGTTGTTACTCTCACCGCCGCCACTACCACCGACCACCATTACCACTACCATGATCACCACCCACCACCACCACTGCCGCCGCCACTACCTACGACGCCACCACCAACTACCATTATCGTCGTTACCACCGTTGCCGCCGCAACCGACCACCACCACCCACCACTACCACCGCCACCATTGCTGCCACCACCACCACGACCATTACCCATCACCACTACCAATATCATCACCCACCACCACCGCCGCTGCCACCACCACCACAACTACCAATGTTGCCACCATCGCCGCTACCACCACCACCGCCACTAGCCGTCGCTGCTACTACCAGCACCATCACTGCGGTTGCTATTGCCACCAACTGACACTGCCACCATCACCACCACTTCTGCCACCACAATTAATGTCACCACCACCGTCGTAGCCCCCATCACCGCCACCCACCACTGTCGCCTCCACCACCGCCACTGCCCCCACCACCACTGCCACCACCATCGAAATTCTACCGTTTTTATAATTTTCATAATGTATTTTTACATATAAGTTAGAAAACGATGTAAAATTAAGCAAAACAAGCAAAAAGGTAATTATATCATTTTACATGAATTTCAATTTCATTTCCTGCGAACCAAACAAATTTTGGAATTAATTCAAATTCCATTTCCTACCAACCAAATAGCATATGGAATTGGATTCAAATTCCTGACAGATTCCTTTTCCAATTCCAATTCAAATTACTTCGGTAACATTCTGCGAACTAAACAGCACCGTAGCATATGATTATTAAAAACCAACATGTTGATTCCGTAAATCTTTTTTTTTTCATACATACATTGAACCTTCCGTGGATATATACCTGCGCCACCGGTGCAATTTTTTTTTTTTTTTTTTAAAACTCAAAACGCATAATTTTTTTCAAAAACTCATGAGATAATATATACCATCAGCTTTTAAATCCGAAAAATTTGGGATAATGCACATTCACACAACGACCCACTTACCCCACTTCTTCCTTTCCGACTTGCGAGATGCTCATGACTTTTGTTTTTATTTCCAAGTTTCGGTATAAGATTTTCTTTAGCAGAGTTTATGTTTATAATTTTAAATATCAAACAATTATACCTAAGGTTATTTTTGTCATTTTGGTCATCTTGATATAAATTACTTACTTTAAAGGTTTATGACATACTTTATAGGTTTTATAATTAAATAATGTTTTGAAACCTTCAATGAAATTCTATAGTTGATTTTATATATTATCTCTTAACTTTTTGCAAACCAAATAGTATTGTAATAATTTTGAAAAGACATAAGTGGATTTCCTTGAATTAATTAAATTATGTTCGTTAAAGATCTTGATATTATTTATAGCTTTATAATTTTAAGAATTTATAAACAAAAAACTATCTAAAATATTAAGACCGATTATGAAGCAAGATATGGACTAAGATCTTAGGATCTCCACTAGAAACCTAACTTTTATCCAAGACTATCCTACATTGTTAATCTTTAATTACCCTATACTTAAATCTTTATTTTTTAAACCTTAAACGGTGCATTATTTCTGCTAAAAAACTCAACGTCAATATAAAAAAAAATGTCTTTCAAGTTTGAAATCAGACCATAAAATTTATCCATTCATAACTTTATCAATAAGGTTTATAAAACATCACAACTCGATATCAAACATTAAGATCATAATAAGGTTTGTAGAACATCACAACTTTATTAATTCATCCACTGAATTAAACCAATCATAATGATATACACGTGATCTTGTGCCTTTAACGATACAAGTTCACACTCATCTTTTTTTCTTTTTCCGTTTAAAACGTTTTTTCTTTCTAATTCTTGAAGTTTGCATCATTGTATCTATAAAAATCGTAATTTATAAAATTAAAGTTGATTCAACAATTAGTTTCTTAATCTTAACATTAAATTTGAATAAATACAACATAAACATAAGCAGAGCTTACGAACAAATTTAAAGGGCTGTTGATTTTGATACAAACTTATAAAACATATAACAATCATAAATTTATATCGTAACAACCTTGAATTGATATAATTATCAACTTATACATTTTTAATAACTTTTGGACACAACCTATACTTTGAATAGTACAATTACACATCAACCTTCATTAAAAGTACAACTACACATCAATCCTATGCCAAATTACCGACAATTCCAAAGGAACACTTTCTTTTTTCTACGGTGGGAAAACAGAGTGTTGACTGCTCAACCGAGTCTTCACTATTTCAATTGTTGATTTGATTATTGTTTATATCCTTCCTCTATATATACGCTAGATAATCGATTTGGGTTATTCTCTTCTCTTGCGTTTCTGTAGGTTTTTACTAATAATTTCATTATGCTCCTGATTTGTGGAATTGTGACTACTGAAAGTCAATCCTAGTGATTCATTTGGGGTAGTTGATATACGGTATTAGGTATTTTGGTAGAATTTTGAATTGAATATTATATTGTTGATCCGGACTTCAATCAATCTTACTGAACTTGGCTACTTTTTGAAGCTTCGTTGTATATTCCTTGGATTTAACTAAAAAAACTAGAGGTTCCTTCTCCGATATGGAACCTGCGGTGTCCGGACTCGTTGGTTCAGAGATTCATGGCTTCAAAACCATGGAAGGTGTGTGTTTGATTCTGAACTTTTCTAGTTTATGCGTATTTCGTTTTCGTTTCTATACCGGATTACATTTTTGACTCTGGTGGTGTTTGGATGTGCGTTTTGTAAGCGAATATGTGATCTTGTAATTGACTGTAATCAAATGCGGATGGTATGTAAATGTGGTTCTGCTCTTGAAGCTGTAATAATCGTTTTTTCATGGTATTGACCGATCAAACAGATTCTGATTGCTAATTAACTAATTTTACTCTACTCGTTGATGATCAATTTTGTTGTAAGCTATAATCAAACATATTATTTGAGCCCTAATAATACGATAATCATAAGCAGAATTAGTTTGATAAGTTATCCAAACTCCAGAAATCGAGGTAACAATAATCAGAGCACTTTCAAAACGCACATCCAAACACGCCCTTTCTGTTGCTAAAATTGTTGTTTATGCTTACGTTTTAACTGAAATTGAGGAAAATTGTTATCTAAGTTCATTTTTTACTTCCTACTGAGTCTGATTCTTAACTCCATTAACAGATTTGGATGTGCCCAACATGATGGAGGAAGCAAAGACAAGATGGCTCCGACCAAATGAGATTCATGCAGTACTTTATAACCACAAGCATTTCAGCATCAGTGTGAAACCGGTTAATTTGCCTTCAAGTAATTATAAAAAGCTCATGATGCCTTCTCTAATATCACTTTTTGCTACTGTTCTTATTATCTTATGTGTAATTGTTATGATTGTAATTTCGTTTGAGCTTTATAGCTTGGAAGATAATTCTTTTTTCCTTTGCAATCTAATAGGTGGCACTATCGTCCTATTTGACCGGAAGATGCTCAGAAATTTCCGGAAAGATGGGCATAACTGGAAAAAGAAAAAAGATGGAAAAACTGTAAAAGAAGCTCATGAACACTTGAAGGTGAGTTTTAGTTTTTATACATGATTTTACCTTTTTATTTTGTGTTTCTTGTGTGGAATAGTCAATATAGCATTAGTTTCTTGTGTGGAATAGTCAATATACAAGCTCTCATTGCTGTTAATACAGGTTGGAAACAATGAAAGAATTCATGTCTATTATGCACATGGTGAAGACCGGTCAACCTTTGTTCGTAGATGTTACTGGCTTCTTGATAAGTATGCAACAATCCAAGATTTCATGGATATTTACAATACATATCTTCAAGATGTTCCTTCTCTCTATATATATTGATCATTGTTTAATTTCATTATGTTACAGGAATCTGGAACATATTGTACTTGTTCATTATCGTGACACTCAAGAGGTTTGTTCACATAAAAAGTTTATTAATGAAAAATAGTCAAACATATTTTGTTGAAAATTGCCTGAACATATGATGCAGTTGCAAGGGTCTCCAGGGTTGACTGTTGACTCCAATTCTAGCTCGGACCCACCTACTTCATCAAATCTTTCAGAAGAAATTGATGGGGTTGATCAGGTGTACTTTACTGGTGTGTAAGTTTATTAATGAACATCAAGAAAACTTTGATTAATAGTCAAACACTTCTCTTGAACAATAACAATGAAAACTAAATGACTAAAATGTTGTAAAGTATTTTCTGTTTTTTTGTGATTCAACAGAGCCTAATGAGACAGCAATAAATCATGAGATGAGAATTCATGAAATCAATACACTGGAATGGGATGAGCTTGTGATTCCAACTTCCGATAAGCTGAGTGGATCTGAAGGAGGTAATGAATTTGGTTTATGTGTTGTTTATATCTGATTTAATGGACTTAATGGAGATAGAACTTAACCTAAATGGATATATAGTGATGTTTCTTTTTTACTTAATATAAACAGACTGACTTAACAGGTTAAGTGAGAGGAGAGTTTCTTTATCCATCAAGAACTCCCTTTTTACGTTTCTACCCTTTAACCAAACTCTCTCCTTTCTTTAGTTCTTTTTAAAATATATCTATCTAGTTATTAAAAGATTAATAGTTATTGTTAATGAAACTTAAGTTTATATAATTATTTACATGTGTGGATCTATTATTTTGTAGGAAATGTTGCACAATTTGATCAAACTAACCAATATGTATCAAATGGATCAGTAGACAATGTAAATAGACACAATGCTCAAATTGCAAATTTAGGCATTGATGTCTTCAACACAATGCATAAAGATGAATTACCAACACAAGAAAGTTTTGGAAGATGGATGAATTACATCATCACAGATTCTCCTGGATCAATAGATGATCCACTTCAACATCCATTCACACCTTTCAATGGTGATCACAATTCCACTGATAAAATTTTCAACATAACCGATGTCTCCCCTTCATGGGCTCTAACAAGTGAAGAAACAAAGGTACTTTTCTCTTAAAACTTTCTAAAGAATTAAATGTCAAAGTAAAGGAAATAGCATAATGTATTACATTTGTGTTTCTTCTCTGCAGATTTTAGTGGTTGGAGATTTTAACAAAAAGTATATCCACCTAATGAACTCGAATATATTTTGTGTATGTGGGGATGTTTTTGTTCAATTAGAATTTGTTCAATCCGGAGTTTTTCGATGTATGATTCCTCCACAAAATCCCGGAATCGTGAATCTATTCCTGAGTTCTGATTGCCACAACCCCATCAGTCAGGTGATGGAATTCGAATTCCGTCCTCCTCCTCCTCCTCCCACCACTAATCTACCGACACCTGTCAACGAGAAGCCAGACTGGCAAGACCTCGAAGTCAACATGAGACTAGCTCATTTGCTTTTCTCCACATCCAAGAGTCTAGAGATTTTATCAAGTAAAATACCACAGAAGAGTTTGAAGGATGCGATAATATTCGCCCAAAAAACACGACATATTGTGAATCGTTGGGATTTTTTGGTGAAGTCGGTTATGGAAAAAAAAGTATCTTTTGAACAAGCGAGAAATAGCTTAATGGAGCTCACGTTGCGAAATAGATTACTTGAGTGGCTTTTGGAAAGAGTGTTGGAAGGTGGGAAGATTCCTGTTCGTGATGATGAAGGTCAAGGAGTTATTCATTTGTGTGCAATTTTGGATTATAATTGGGCGATTTACCCGTATTCATGGTCTGGGTTATCCTTAGATTTTCGTGATAAATTTGGATGGACTGCTCTTCATTGGGCTGCACACCATGGGAGGTATGGTTCTTGTGTGTATTTTATGCAAAAATAACAATGTGCTTTCTTTGATTTGCTTATTCCTTCCTATTACAAGATTGTGCTATAAAAAATCTACCCAAATATAGCAATGTCATCCATATACAAAGAAATTCATTGTTCTAGTTGGTATAGTTTTTAAAGTATAATACTATAATGTCCTATAAGTGGGTAGATTTTTCGAAATGTAACATCATAATAAGGGAAAATTGAAAGTACAATGCTATAATTGGGTAGATTTTTCAAAGTACAGTGTCCTAATGAGAAAGTTTGAAAATACAAGGCTATAATTGGGTAGTGTTTTCAAAGTATAATGTCCTAATAAGAAAAATTGAAAGTAAAATGCTATAATTGGGTAACCTTTTCAAAGTATATTGTCCTTCTAAGAAAAAAAATTGGAAGTAAAATGCTATAATTGGGTAGATTTTTTTTAAAGTATAATGTCCTGATAAAAAAAATAATTGAAAATACTGATTTTCAAAGTATAATGTCCTGATAAGAAAAAATTAAAAGTACAATGCTGTGACTGGGTAGGTTTTTTCAAAGTACAATGTGCTAATAAGAAGAAAATTGAAAGTACATTGCTATAACTGGGTAGATTTTTCAAAGTACAATGCTTTACTAGGAAAATAGTGAAACTGGTATGCTAAAATAGAAAAAACAAAAGTAAGATGCTATAATACACAAATAAACAAAAATACGTTGCTACTTCTCGCATTTATCCATTTATATAAACCCATTAGTAAAATATCTCAACTTAAATTTGGTTTACTATGTTCAGGCAAAGGATGGTGGCATCTCTTCTCTCGGCTGGAGCGAACCCTAATCTAGTAACCGACCCAACTTCTGAAAACCCCAGTGGACACACACCTGCTGACCTGGCATCCAAAAATGGGTACGAAGGATTGGCTGCATATCTAGCCGAAAAGGCACTCGTGGCACATTTTGAAGCCATGACATTAGCCGGAAACGTTAGCGGCTCACTACAAAGCACATTCCCAACTAACGAACCCGTTGTCCCAGACACGTCATCAGTCCTCGTCAGCGAAGAGGAGCAGTATCTAAAAGACACCCTGGCAGCCTACCGAACAGCCGCCGATGCCGCCGCCCGTATACAGGCGGCGTTTAGGGAGCAGTCGTTTAAACTCAAGACAAAAGAAGTGGAAGTTTCCAATCCGGAAGACGAAGCGCGGTGTATCATAGCCGCCATGAGGATCCAACACGCCTTCCGGAACCATGAATCGAAAAAACAAATGGCGGCTGCTGTACGGATACAGTATAGGTTCCGTACTTGGAAAATAAGAAAAGATTTCTTAAATAAACGCCGTCAAGCCATAAGAATTCAAGTAAGTTTGACAGGTTATTGTAAGTGACAGAATGGCCTTGCTGATACGATCTACTGAGATTGAGATTCAGTCCTGTGTCGCTCAGATTTGTTTTTTTATCATATGAGATTGGGGGAGTGTTGTTTTTTTTGGTGACTAATGTTGTGTTTGTTGAATTTAGGCGATTTTTCGGGGTCATCAAGTGAGAAGGCAGTATACGAAGATAGTGTGGTCAGTTGGAGTGCTTGAGAAAGCGATATTGCGTTGGCGATTGAAGCGAAAAGGGTTTCGGGGTCTTCAAGTGGAGGCAGATAAAGATGAGAAGCAAGAGAATGTTGATGGGGAAGAAGGATTTTTCCATGCGAGTAGGAAGCAAGCTGAAGAGCGTGTTGAGAGATCGGTTGTTAGGGTTCAAGCCATGTTCAGATCAAAACTAGCTCAAGAAGAATACAGGAAAATGAAGCTACAACACATCCAAGCATCGGTATGTGTATTCTAGTGCTTAAATGCAAGATATATCATACTTTCATTTATTTGACTTTTAAATATTTATTTTTTTGCAGATTGAGTATAATGAGAGCTTTGACCCTCCAACTGACATGGAGAAATAGAAGATGTTGGTGTTTGTGTTTTGACTGTTGTAAATGCATAAACTATAAGGCAAAGTTGTGTCTGCTCGTCTGTCTGTATTTTTATGAGAAAGAGGGCATGATTGTTTTGAGTTAATGGTTTGTGTTGAAGTTTATATATAATGATTTGATGTAATATTAGAAGAAATGGGAATGGAAACTAGGTGTTAACTCTATTGTTTGGTAAAGTAATAATAATGTGAATGAATGGTTGATGGGAACAAATAAAGTTATATGCTTTGACCAACATATAAATTCGCTAGTCATTGACCTATAATAATAAACTAGGTGTGATACCCGGATATTATATGGGTTGATTTAAAAAATAATAAACTTAAAGTATAAAAAGAAATATTTTTTAATTACAACTTTAAAATAAAAAAGAAAAAAACGTATTTATTACAATTTAATATAATATATATGATATTTAATATTTTACATATATAAATATATGATTTTAATTAAAAATTAAAACAAACAAAAAATTGACAAGTGGATAATATTTATTTCAAAATTACCACAAAATGATAAGTGTCAAAACTGATAAAAGATTAACAAGTGGCAAAAAAAACCTTCATTTATTAAGGAGGATGGGCAAAATACAAGAAATAAAATATAGTTTTAAATTTAAATTCTGGTTATAACAACACTGTTCAAATCAATCTTTTATTGAATCATTATACTTTGTAATTTTATGTATTATGAGAATGGGTGATCTGCCCCTTGCAATAGGAAAAATAACTTGGTAAGATATTTTTTGAAATCATACTTAGTTCTTATTTATTTATTTTATTATTATTATTATTATTATTATTATTATTATTATTATTATTATTTGTAAAATAAACTCTTATACTTTTTTTTTTTTTGTAACAATGCAATCCTTGTGACCGGTTATACCCGGTATATCGGTCATATATAAATTTTCTTTTAGTGAAAATGACTTGATAGGGTAAGATATATTTTGAATTGTACACATTTAGTCTTTTTTCTTTTTTTCTTTTTTTTGTAAAATAAACTTTTATACTTTATTAATATGTACACATTATGTCATTTTCATCAGATTTTACATGTTTTGCTGATGAGGAAGCACAAGTGGCACTAAATAGCAATTAATTAGCTTAGTTACCGGAGGTGGGTGATCCTCCAGCAACAAGAAAAGGGCAGCGGCCTTTCTCTTTCTCGCCTCTCTTCCTTCCGGTCGAACAGCAACAACCAAACACCCTTTACCTGTTGTGTTTCTCCGATCTGTCTCTCTTTGCCTCCATCTTTGAGATATGTTGTCAGGGAAAAAAAAATCGACGAGGGGGCTACCAGAGCAGCTCCTCGCCGCTAATTACCGTCTTTACTTCCTCCTGCCTCCCCCTTCGACCTTGTTGTTTTTACCCATCATTCATCCTTGCTACCAGTGATGTGTAGGAACACACAAAGGAGTCGCCGGAGATTGGGGTTCTCCCTCTTTTTCATGATGAAAAAAGTTGGAAAAATCTCGTTGTGGATCTGTGGATGCCACATGGGTATTTCATTTCAACAAAATAAAAGAAAGGGAAATGACTTGATAGGGTAAGATACTTTTTGAAATGTACACATTTAGTCCTTATTATTTTTTTTTTTGTAAAATAAACTCTTCCACATCAGCAAAACCTGCAGAATTTGGTGAAAAGGACCTAATGTGTACATATTAATAAAGTACAAAGGTTTATTTTACAAAAAAATAATAATAATAAAGACTAAATATCTCTATTTCAAAAAGTATTTTACCATATCAGGTCATTATCCCCTTGCAATATTGAATCGTCCCATTATTTTCTTTGTCAGTATCCCATTATTTTCTTTTCTTAACATTGCAGGAAAACATGTTAATTTGTGTTGTGTAATCATAATTCAAAACAATAGCTTACTCGTTATAATGGTTAAATTTTAGAAATACCATAATAAAGAAAATAATTAATGAGGGAAAAATAAATACCATGTTGCTATTTCTTATCTCTTGGCCATGATAAATTTGAAACTATGCATGGTCATGCCATTCAAACTTACATTTGGTTTAGTATAACTTGCTAATGAAATTATCGCTAAATAAAAAATGAAGACGAATTACATTAATATAATTTTCTAAAAACTAATTTAAGAAACAATTCGGCAAAAAATGTAGACTTTGGTATATATCTGTAATTTTTCATTCAGTATTATAAAATTATAGTAAACTTTGGTATATTTGATAACACGGTGACAAAATGATTCAACAAATATTGGGCCCAGCTCGATCTATGAAGCCCATTTCGTAAAAAAACGCAAATTAGGGTTTTTAAAAAGAGACGGCGACCCCATATCCTCGTTTCAGTCAATCGTGAAAACCCTAATCTCTCAGGAGCTGCAACTTAACAGGTTTTTCTCTCAACCTTTTCCAAATTTATTAGCTTATTTCCAGCTTTCGGGGATCTGTATGTAAGCGGACTCCGTATTTTCCTAGTTATTTGTGTGTTGATTTGTTAATTATTGGTGTAAACAGTGTGCCAGAGAGATGGCCAAGTCGAAGAATCACACCGCGCATAACCAGTCGGCCAAGGCTCACAGGAACGGTATCAAGAAGCCAAGGAAGCACAGACACACTTCCACCAAAGGAGTAAGATTTTTAAGCTTTTCCTTTGATTTTTGAGCTTGAATCAGTGGTCGATTGATCTTCGTTAATAGGTCATGTAGATTTTTAAAAATGCTATGTGATGCTTGATGGATGACAATGTACGCTTTTAGCAAAATCGAAATTTGTCGTCGTATTTTCTACACAAAAAAAGTTTTTGAAAATTATGAATCAAATCATGTACACTGTAATTCTGGAATTCGGATTTGATTGTTTATGGTTTTTGTGTCATATTAAAAACTTCAAAATGGTATTTATTGTGATATGGATACGGGTGAATTTCATCATGTTTTAATGATTTGGATGAAAACCTAAAAAAAATTGTTTTTTGTTTTCTATTTGGAGAGTGAAGTAATGGTGGTTGATGATTATTTTGTTGAAACTATGTGTGTGATGCAGATGGATCCCAAGTTCTTGAGGAACCAGAGGTATGCAAGGAAGCACAACAAGCAGAGTGGTGAATCTGCTACTGAAGAATAGATGTTTTAGGGTTTTTGATTTATGATCTCTTTCTGTTTTGAATTTTGTTATCAATTAGAACACTGCAATATCTCATGTGATTGTTGAATCTAGTTTACATTCTATGTTATGGTTGTCATTGTGTTTTGAGTATTCTATCAATGAAATCATTTCTTGAGTCCATTGCTTTCAAAGTTCAATTGTTTTCAAACAGCGGCATCATCTAAAATTGAGATCTATCACATTTAACTACTCTGATACAGTGTAGTTAAATCATTTCTTGAGTCCATTGCTAGTCTTTTGTTATGTTATGATTAAGGATGTTTTTAGAAAGTTTTTTGTTATAATCAAGTAATTTATTTTGGAAAATCTTGTTATCATTAGTAATGATACAAAAATTTGATTCTCACCTTTTTTGTGTAATTTAGCTTAACTCAACAACCAAAATATCTGAAGTCTGTCTATTGTTGGAATCCCACTAATTTCACTTTAACCATTTTTATTGAGAAAGTGTATAAAAATGAAAAACTAGGTGGAAGCTTACTTAGTGATTTTTCGAATATAAATATCATTTTAACCCAATGAATTTATCACATTTGCTTTAAAAGGTCATTTATTTATTTCTTGTTTTTGCACATAACTATCAAGAACTTATCACATTTGTTTTAAAAGATCATTTATTTATTTATTTTTTGTTTTTGCACATCAAGGTAATAAAGGTTAATGTGACCGGTTGAAATGGTCATTTAACCCCATTTAACCCCTTAAAAGATCATGTATAGTACTATTATTTGGTTTTTCTTAATTATTTTTAGTTGTTATTATTTATGTCATTATTATAATAATAATATAAATTAAAACAAATTATAAAAAAGGAAAACTTAAACCTAATCATAGGCAACTCATCTCCATCAACAACCAACTACCATTGGTATCTACTTCGCTTCCCTCCGGTAAAAGAAATCATCCTAACATCTTGCAGCATCTCATCTCATCCCTACATACCACATCACATCACCATCTCCAGTCACTGAATTCTTCTTCTTTTTTTTTTTTTTTTTTTTTTTTTTTTTTTTTTTTTAACGATAGAAGATTTTATTTAAATAAAATAAAATTAAAAAAAAAAAAAACCCCTAGCAAGAAGCTAGGAAAAACACATTACAAGAGAAGTGTAGCAAAAGCAGATTTACGAAGCCAATCAGTCCAATTAAGCTTAGCTTTCCTACATCTACTGGAAATCCAAAAAAACGCCTTCTCAACAACCTCATCAAAGATCATGGATTTCCTATGAGTGTCTGGTCACTGAAATTAAAAGATCCCAACTCCATCTGCCCTCTAATTCCAATCCACCCTTCAACTTACTGGACCTCTATTCTGTTCTTGCCACCATTAAAGCCTACAAGATTCCTAACCTCACACCCCTGTGAGCCAATGCCGATCTTAGGAAAACAACTCAAGACACGATGCGTAAATTTATCCTTACCATTCAGAAGATGATCTAAAGAAACCAAAGAACTCAGTTTTGAATCAGAAGACGCTTAGAATCGAAGATCCCGATGAAGCCAGTCACTACGACGTCGTCTTACAAATTCAATTTCTTCTCTATTTTTTTGTTTTTGATCGATAGGGTTTTACAGATTCAATTACTTCTCCATTTTTTTCGATTTTAATCGTTTGGGGTTTTCATCTTCATCAGATGGTGGCACTTTTGATCTGATTTTTTTTTTTAGGAAAATATGATGGTAGGGCTTTTTGTGTTCTTGGTGTATCAAATCCAGATTTTTTTGCTAGTTATGAGTTTTTTCTAATTTAATCTTTGTTTTTAATGGATTATTTTTAGGTTTAGTTTTGATGGTAAAGGAAATTTTCTGTGTAAAATTGTATCTGAAGAAGATGAAAAGGAATTAATGATGGTGGTTGTAGACGGTGATATAAGGTGGCAGATGGTGGTTTAAGGTGATGGTGTTTGAATGTTCTAGAAACAATATGAATAATATTGGATTTCATAATGAACATGACCAAAGAATTTTTCATGAAAAAAAAAATAATAATAATAATAAACCAGGTTGATGTTGATATGGCAGTCAAACCCTTCGTGGCATGTATATTACCTTTGAACCCG